TCCTTCAATTCCATCCCCTGAGAACTTCTGGAGTCTCTTTTCTCCATCTCAGCTGCCGCTGCCCTGAGTCTGCCCTTCAGCAGCCGTAGCTTCTGTTGTCTGTGGACCATTGTACAAGATGCTACACAGTGCTCCCTGATTCTCTGCCTGATCCTTCAAATCCACCTCCAAAGTCTGGCAGCTCTGATCACACCATTCTCCTGCACAGAGCCCTTTCAGAGATTCCACTGTCCTCAAGGCAAAGGTCAACACCCCAGAATAGTGGCATCATCTAACCCTCCAGATTCACGCCTTACTCCTCCCTCTCCATTCTCTACATTCCAGATATACTGGTTTCTGTCCAGTCACCCATCAGCTCCACCCTCCATCACGTCTTCAGTTTTCCTGCCTACAGTTCCCTTCCTTGCCTCTGCTCATCTCCTGTCTTGTGCCCTGTGCCCCAAGCCATGCAGAGCTGTGCCCGTTCCTCCAGCCCGGTAAGCAGCCATTGCCAGGCCCAGCCGGGCAGTGACACAGCTCAGCCCTAAACCCCAATCTGATTACATAATCTGTGCTGTAACCATCAGGCACCACTGCCCGCAGGCATGCCTCAAAGTATCAGCTGTGCCCTGAGAGGGAGCTTCCTGGAGGAGCAGCAAACACATTCAGGACCAGCAGCCAAGGTACTACTCCCTCACAGCCTCTGCAGAAGTGAGTTTTAATGAGGAAAATTGCATGAGATCTTGGCAGACAGAGGCAGATCTTGCCTCTTTCATATCTAAGCATTCTGCAAGCCTGGGCACACAGCAATACAATAGTTTTAAGGGCTTGATGAAAGTACCAATTCTTTTTCTTCTTTACACTCACCTCTCAAAGTATCTCGCAATGAGTTGTATAGTGCCCATGTGCGTAAGACAGTCTGTATTATTTACTCCCATTTTGTAGACAAGCAAACTAAGAAATATAGGGCCTTTCAGGGGTGCTCAGGCTCACTTGGGGTTTGGTCAACTCATTCCTTGATTCCTCCATTGTAGAGATAACCATTTATGGCATCCTATGACTTTGCCATCAACAGACCCTAATTCATCATCAAATGTCAGCTGAACACATCAGAGTCACCAGAGACTCAAAGACAGGACACCAGACTTCCACATTACAATGAAGTCATTTTCAGCATCTTTCAAAGACCCTTCATTTTCAGCAGTCAGGGCCCTCCTTCTTTGCTCTGAGTCTGACAGACCACCCCACCTTCCCTACACCCAGTTCCTGACCTCAGGACCAGCTGAGTAACTTTCCAGGCCAAGGCTTATCACTGCAGGGGCCACCTGGCCCAACTACAGCAGTCTCTACTGAATGACCTGAATCTAGTCAAAATGATCATCTTTCCATCTGCTATAAGGTCTCAGAACCCTCTTAAGAAGACACATCCAAACAGGACCCAGTCTGCCTTCCGTGCCTCCTTGGCCTGGGTCTTAACTTTTCTTTCAGGCCTATGAAGCCAGCACTGACCATCCCATCCCCAGAGCAATTTCTCTCATCTTCTAGTTTGGGTCTGTTTCTCTTTACTGAGAATTCCTCCCACCCCTGAGAAATATAACACAAGTCTCTTATTAACTGGCTCCCCAGAAAGCCAAGAGATCAGACAGTGAACAGACCACCAAGGGGACAGGAACCAATTAGAGCACTGGACCATCAAGGCCAAGGTCCGGGCCTGCATCTCACCAATGGAGGCTATGCTAATCTGTGCGAGTCTAGAGAGGCTTTTTATAAAACTGCATCAAAATGTCCATAGAAGTGAAAAGGGGGAAATGGGCTCTTTATGCCTGCATGGTTTTTACTGTTATTTACTAACATTCCAAAAGAATTTCTCACTAGACTTTAAAAAAATCTCCTCCTGAGGTCATTTTAAATGCAACACACCAACAATGATGGGGCAGAGGAAGAGTGTGGCTGACTAGATGCAAACTGCTGCCCTCCATCCTCAGATAAACTCAGGCCAGGCTGAGGGGTCTGGCAGAGACTTCTGTGTGTTGAATAGCATGTTTTAGGGGAAGAAGAGGGAGAAGAATGCCAGGCAGATCTACATATTCACTTCGCACCCCTTGTTAGTCCTTCCTTCATTTGATGCTTCCAGATTCTCAGCGGGGTTATCAGTGGAACTAAATGTCAAGCTTTAGCCCTCACAAACTGCCCACAAGGCAGCAGA